TTCCGCCCGGCCCCGGGCCCACCCGCTGCTGCTGCCGCCGCTGCCATCCCCTCCCGTCCCAGCGCCGGGCGGGACTGTACTGCGCAAGCGCAACCCCCCCCTCTCCCCTTCCTGCCCCTCTACGCAGGCGCGGGTCTCCGCCCGCCCTTTCTTTCCCCGCCCCTGCGGCCTCAGCAGACGATGTGCGCAAGCGCGCTCTCGCGTGGGTCATGCGCGTGCCCTCCCTTGTGCTGTGCATGCGTAGAATGCTCTCGCTCCTCCGCCAATGGGGTTCCACTGTGCGCATGCGCGCGGCGCGAGGCGTGAAGGGTCGCGCTAGCTACGCCTCTGTGTGCCTGGGCAACCGTCCTTCCCGCCAAAACGCCAACGTGGCTCCCGTCTCTCACACAGTCCCCCTCTCCTCTCAGCCAACCAGGCCCCTCCCGGGGACCCAGACGTCCTCCAAGTTTCCTCAGGCTTCCTTCGTAGCCATGAGCACCCATTGTCTCCTCCCTAGAGGTCTCCGTATAATCACCCTTCCCTCACGCAGTACCCCAGAGGTGGCCACATCTCAAATCAGGGGCCTTTCACTTGCTCTCCTCGTGTGTCGCCCCAGAAGCGGCTGCAGCTCCACCCTAAGCAAAGGATCCCTGTACAATTACCCCCCCCCCGCCCCAAGTGGCTGTATCCAGGTCTGCAGCAAGGGGGCAACGAGCAACTGAAGGGGCCCTTTTCCCTCACAAGGAAAGGCCATCGCCCAAGCTTGATCTGCGGGTTAAGCTTCCTCTGCTGTGTCCCCTGCTCGGCCCCATGAGGTGAGAAGTGGGTGGGAGCGAGGTGAGGAAAAGGCTGCGAAATGTCTCAGAGCCTGGGGGTGGCTGGGAGAAACAGGTGCCCTCACCAATGAGGCATAACAAGCCGCCTACCTCAGCGAGGGGGGGGGCAATTATAGTAGACAGTTCTTTTCTCTCCCGGGTTCGCTTCCTCTGGATTTCCTGGGGTTTGGGCCAGGGGTGGATTGGAGCCTCACAGCAGAAGTGCAGTGGGGGACTGTAGTGCCCAGCCCCAGGGTGCAGGGAGGACCAAGGCCTATAATGATCTAATTAACAATGAGTTAATTAATAACATCTTTACACGGCTGGCCGGGCCCAGCCAGGCAGGAGGACCAATGCCCCCCACGCGCAGAGGCTGCCCAGGGAGAACGCAGGTAGCCGGGGGTGTTTTGCAGCAAAAGGGGTCCAGGGAGAGAAAGAGGGAACTGAGCCCCAGACACACATCCTTCCAGCTGCTCCGGACCCCAGCTCCAGGCAGGATCCAGCTCCCAGTCGAAAGCACCAGGACCCCTAGGGTCTCTGGGCCCGAGCTGGGAGAGCCCCAGCATCTGGGCTCCTAGCCCCTCTGATCCAACCCCCTAGACCTCACTGGGCTGGGAGAGAAACCAGGCATCCAGGGTCCCAGCCCCTGCTCTACCCGGCCTGCTCCCCCGGCGAAGCTGGGGTGGGCTCAGGTGTCTCGGCCACAAAGACAAGAGCCCCACCACCAGCTGAAAAGGGAAAGCTCCCACTCTCGGTGTTTTATTGGACAATATAAATACCCACTGCCCGTCCCGCCCCGCCCCACCCCCGCATAAATAGTATGCAAAGCAGTTTCGGCCTTTCGCTCCCCCACCCCCCTCCCCTCGCCCCTGCATGTGAATTAAATACAGGAGGGAGTGTGGGGGGAACCCAGGTGTCCAAGTGGCACCCCCAACCCCACCGTGCCACAACCCCACCCACTATGGCCATGCTGCCAACATCCGGTGTCGGTCCAGCCGCGTCTCATGGTGGGGGGGTAGATTCACATTATAACCCCCAGTTCAGGATGCGCCTGGCACCGTCGGCACCCTCCACTCTAGTTCATCATGGGAGGGGGAGCAGAGGTTGGAGGTCAGATGGCCGTGTCCCAGAGCACCGTCTGCTGGCGGCGGCAGGGCGGTGTGCCAGCCTTGCGTCCATCAGGGCCGCGGCGCCAGCTGGGCAGGATGGGCATGCTCTCCTGCTTGCAGAGGCTGCGCTCAGGCCGGTGCCGCGCCTTGATCTCCTTGCACACGCAGCGCTTGCGCTCGATCACCTCCAGTAGCTTCCCATCTCGCGGTGCTGCTGCTGCTGCTGCTGCTGCCGCCTGCTGCAATGCCTGCAGGGACCCACCATCATCACTCACCGGGAACCAAAGAGGGTCAGGCTCCTGGCCACCCGATGCCCTGTAGGCTGCCCAGAGCTGAAAAAGGACCCAGGGGGCTGAGCTCCCAGTCACCCCAGACTGCACTCCCCTCCCAGAGCTGGGGGTCTGATGTGAGAACAGGGGCTGACTCTCTGCTCCCCCAGTGCCCCTCACTCCTGACCTGCAGCCCTCTGTCCCCCCAGCCGTGCCAGGGCTCCTCACTCCTGACCTGCAGTACCCTGCACCCCCCGCCCTCCTGGTGCCCCTTACTCCTGACCCGCACAACCCTGCCCCCCCCACCAAGTGCTGCCAGTGCATCTCACCCCCAACCCACAGCCCCCAGGACTGCCAGTGCCCCTCACTCCCACCCTACAGCCCCCTGCCCTGGCACTCACCAGGCTGGCGGGGTCCCTGGGCTGGCTGCATGGGCGGTGCGAGTGGATCATGGCGTGGCGCACCCCTGAGGTGGAGGCCGAGCGGCCCAACCTGTAGCCTCCTGGGAAATCTGGGGACAGGGTGGAGCCAGAGAGGGGCCAGTCAGGCCTGCAGAGCCCGCCCCCCCCACCCCCCCTGCTCCATGATGCAGTCAGCTCTGGGGTGGAGCACAGCTGCATAGAACACAGGCCTGTCATCAGCCCCCAGATGCAGCCAGCTCTGGGGCAGGTCCTAGGCAGGTAAAACAGGCCCCACCGCACTCACCTCCATTGCGGTGGCAGGCAGGGAAGGTCTGGCAGGGCACTGGCAGTCCTGTCCGCCCACCCATCATCTTGTGTGCACTGCCATCGGGGGCTGGGCCCCGCACAGGGATGCCTGAGGGCCCCACCCCAGGTACTGCCTTCTCCTCCTGCTCCGGCTTCAGCCGCGCCTCGGCCCCACCGTTCCACACCAGGGTGCCTTCTGCTGCCTCTGTGGTGGTAAAAGGCAGAGGTCACAGGACCCTACCCTTATATGGCAAAGACCTCCCCTGCCCACCCAGTGGCCCCCTCCTCACCTTTACGGCTGCTGTACAGCCCCCGACGCTGCAAGGCCCAGCTGGTGCCCGGCGCCTCCTCCTCTCCCTGAGGCCTGGGCCCTGCGCCCGCCTTGACTGCCGGCCCCTTGAGGCTCTCGTAGGCGGGCGGGCGCTTGAGGGCCCCATAGGCCGCAGCAGGGTAGGTCCACAGGAGCCCTGGGCGGGGGGGCCGGGCGCACAGCACCCCCTGCAGCACGGCCAGCTCACGCTCAGGCGGGCCGGCTGCATAAAGCATGGCGTAGGCCACAGGGCCCTTGTCCTTGGGCGCCTGGGGCACGGGCAGCAGCGAGGGTGCTGTCACCTTGGCCACCGCCTGCGGGGGCAGTGGGGTGGAGTGGCTGCGGGCACGGGAGGCCGCCTCCCTGGTGGGGCAAGGCATGGGCAGCTTGGAAGCCTCAGCACCCACCCCGGCTTTGCCACTGCTGCCCTTATGCCCCTTCGCCTGGGGCAGAGCCAGCAATGGGGGCTGGTGCTGGAGCAGGTTGGGGAAAGGCGGGGGGATTTCACAGGTGGGCGGGGGACGGGCACGGGGGGAGCCAGGCACTGCCTCGCCCGCCCCATCCTCGCCCAGTGGGTATTTCATCTCCTCATAGATGGCCTCGCTCTCGTCCGAGTCCTCATCTGGGGGTGCCGGCGGAGCGGGTGGTGGCCCCCCACCTCCTGCACCGTGCAGCACATCACCCACCATCTCAATGTACACAGGCTCCTCATCCTCGAGGTCGGGGCCCTTGGCGGGGCCCGGCTGTGAGAAGGCGCGGGCGTAGCGGAGCGGGAGCCGCCCCCCGCCACTCCCATAGGCCTCGTCGAAGGATCCTGAGAGCTGCGTGTTGGGGTTGCGCTTGGGCTTCTCTGGAGGCACCTTGCGGGCCGGTTCCCGGCTCTCCGAGCTGGACTTCGGCAGGCCTGTGGGGGCGGGGGGCGGGCCGCTGCTGGGAGCACAGGGGCCAGGGACACAGCAGGCTCTGGGGAGGGATAACGGGGACTGGGGCACAGCTGGCTATGAGGAGGGATAATGGAGAATGGAGGCACGGCCAGCTCTGGGGAGGAATAACAGGGGCATGGCCAGCTCTGGGGAGGGATAATGTGGACCAGGGTGTGGCCGGCTCTGGGGCGGGATAGTGAGGACTGGGGCATGGCCAGCTCTGGGAGGGATAATAGGGGTATGGCCGGCTCTGAAGAGGGGTAATGGGGACCGGGGATGCGACTGGCTTAGGGGAGGGATAACAGGGACCACGGGAGATGCTGGGGGGGGTGCACTCACCGGCCTTCTTGGGGGTGGGGCCATAGCCAGCAGTGCTGAGCTTGGTGCTGGGGTGGCGCTGGGGCTTGGCAGGTGGGCACCGGGCACCAGGTGGCTCATCAGTGCTGTCCATGCTGCCCACGGAGTGGCAGGACAGGGAGCGCGGTGCCATGCCCCCCACGCATGGGCGTGGTGCATGCTCCTGCGATGCCGGCATCGTCAGGAACCCCATGCGGAAGTGGCGGCGGAACGAGGCCCCGTCCCGCACCCGCCCTGCGCCCGCCTCCTTGCCCGGCCTGGGGAGAAGCCACCGGTCAGTACCTGCCTGGATGCCTGCGACCAGGTCCACCTGTGGGCAGCACCCTTCTGCTCTGCCCCACCCCGAGCCAGGCTGCCCGGTGGAAACCAGGCATCTGGTCGCCTCACCCCTTGCGGGCCTCGTCGTCCTTGGGCTGGCGCCAGTCCAGCTTGCCCTTGCGGTACAGCAGGTTCATGTCGGTGGGGCCAGGTGTGGCCGTGGCGGCACGGGCCTGGTTCAGTGCCCCGTAGGCCCGTCCACCGCGCTCCTCAATGAATTGCAGGAACGCCGCAACCAGTGCCTCAGGGGGAACGGCGCTCATCGCACCTCGGCCTGCGGGCACCACGTTGTCAGTGCCCACCCCCTCTGCTGGGGGACCTGGGCATCTGGGCTGCCAGCGCTGTCACCCACCGCCTGCCATGCGGGCGCAGAGGACTCTTCCCCAGGATGGGAGACCTGCCCGTGCTCCAGGCCAGAGCACCCAGGCATCTGGCCTGCCAGCCCTGCAAGTGCTGCCACCCACCAGCCCTCAGCCCAGCCAGAGCACCCAAGCATCCAAGCTGCCA